ACAGGCTCAGAGCTTTCTGGTACAACAGTATTTAGGGCAAATTAAATAAAGTCTCATTTTCATTGTACTCAGTTTTACATTTACCTTCTCTTTATGGTATTTAAGTGATTGACATGAATTTTCCTTCAAAGGGCAAGATTTAATGAAACAATTTAAAGAAAATATTAAAAAAGGCTGAGTCGGCAGGCTCTGGGATACGACAAAAATCAGGAAAATGATGCTTGGATCCTGGAAGTCTGGGACTCAGTGTTCTAAAGGCAATGTTTCACATATTCGGAAATTAACATCTAGTTTTCCCATAGTTGCCTCCTGGAAACATGTCCAAACAATTATAAAGCAATTGGACCACAGCAGTGCTGCACGAGTATGAGATATCTTGCTAAAATTCCCATGGTTTCCAAATATCTTCTAAATATAACAAATCAAACCACCCCCCTCCAAAATCAGTAATTAGGCAAACCGGGTGCACACAAGACTTTGAAATCCCTCATCTCTGCTGTCAACTGTAATCAAATCTTCCCCAGAATTCTTGTTTTCCGGATTTACCCAAGGCCCTGTGACTTTTATCAGCAATTTATTTTTCTCTGGAAATGTTGCCTCGTTAGAAGACTCAAGAAGAATTCAAAATTAAATTGTTCTGCTGTTTTCTCTCTGGGCAAGGGATGCAATCAAAACTTACTTCCCCTGACTTTCTCGTGCCTCGTTTTTGAGACTAAAAAGGATTTTTATTGGTTGCCTATTTTATCCTCAGCTCACCCCTTCTGCAGCTGTGTCTAGACACCTTCCTCATCAGCTGCAATTCATTTTTCAGCCATGGCATTTTGCAGCTCCCCAGACCCCCAGACTGCAGTTCGGGAGACATTCCCAGGGCCTGTGAGTCATACTGAAAGAAGATAAAGCGTTCTTGCAGGGAGGACTGATTAGGACTGCCCACTCCACTTCTGCCAGTCCGAGGAAAGAAAGGCAGGATAACCTCAGGCAAAGCTTCCCAGCCTGAGGTCTGTGGTTTTCTCCAGAGCTAATGCCTCTCCTATAAATATCTTTGATGGCAGCATCTGTATGTGGCTTTGTGTTTCCCTCCACGGCAAACAATAATGCCCATTTTATATGCAAGGATATGGAAATACGCTTAGAAGAAACACACCCTTTTAAAACAGAAGTAAGCTAGATTGAATTTAAATAAATTGGGAGAAACAGAATAGAATTAATATCTTCAAATGTAATACAAAAGAGCTGTTTGCTGAAATGTTATCTGCATTAGGATCCTCTCGTTTATTGTTAAGGTTGGAGACAAAAATTAAATGTCAGTTAGGGAAAGTGTACATTTGGGGACAAACCATGTCTTCCCACAGATGAAAATTCCTTGATCATTCTTTAATGTTAAGATTTTTTTTGTAGTTTCCTTCTTTAATGCCATCTCTTCTAGAAAATTCTGCATAATAGTCCAGTACCCCACATAGGACACATTTTTAGTTCATCCAGCTCCCAGCACAAAGCTCTAAGTTCTACAAGGCAGCAGAGCACAGGGACATTTTGATTGCTCTCACATATCTCCCAGCCACAGCTCTGCAGATTTTAGTTAAGCATCACTCTTCAAGAAATAATCAGCCATGAAAGTTCTCAGTTCTTTCTCACTTCCACGTGAATTTGACCGGATAGGCTTCTCTCTCTCTCTCTCTCTTTTTAACAGATATAACTGATTTACAAAGAACTATACATATTTAATGTGTAAATTTGATGAGTTTGAACAGGTGCAAAACCTGTGGCACCATCACCACAATCAAGGCATTAGGAATATCCAACCACTCCAGAGTTTCCCTGTGTCCCTGTGTGTGTGTGTGTGTGTGTGTGTGTGTGTGTGTGTGTGTGTAGTAAGAACGATTAATATGAGATCTACCCTCTTAACAAATGTTGCAGAGTACAATACAGTTGTTAAATATAACTACTATGTTATTTAGTGAATCTCTAGAACCTATTCATCTAGCGTAACTGAAATTTTATACCCATTGAACAGCAATCCCCCATTCCCCGCTCCCCAGCCCCTGGAAACCACCCTTCTATTCTGTGTCTCTATGACTGACGATTTTAGGTACCTCGTGTAAATGGAGTCATGCAATATTTTTCCTTCTAGGACTGGCTTATTTCACTTAGCATAACGTCCCCCAGGTTCATCCATGGCATTGCAAATGGCAGGATTTTCTTTATTCATTCATCTATCGATGAATGCTTGGGTTGTTTTGGGAGCATGGCCATTGTGTATAGCGCTGCAGTGCACATGGTCCAGGACCTCCTCTGCAGCATGGTCATTACTGGATGATCCCTACGTTTCACTTTCTGCTGTTTCCTTTCTCTATGGCAACCAGCAGAGATGCTTCTGCAGACTGCGTTTTGTCAAGCGGCCGCAGGTTGTGGGTGGGATGGTGGGAGGGAGACTGCAAGGTTGGCAGAAATTCCCTGGTCCAAAAGCACCAGCTCATTTGCTCAGTATCCAGGCTGAGTGGGAGGGGAGCACCACATGCAGAGTCAGCCCACCAGCCTGGGCTAGGAGGTGACTCTTCCTGCTTAAAGCCTCAAACTCAAATCAGCTTGAGCCTCCATAAAGGTGAGCACTGACCCCTGTCTCTATGGCTGTGACTCTGTTACAGTGGCCCAAGTTGTTATAGCAGCTTCTCATGTCTCATCCCCCCTGCCCCCCTACCAGAACTCTCTCTTTATTAACATATCTTACTGAACGCTAACAATACATTCCGCATTCTTGCTGGTGTCTGGGGCTGGGGCAGGTCAAGTGTACTTTTTTTCATGGTGCTTCTAGTCTCGCAAGGGAGGTGGATATTAAACAAAAATGACACAAATTACGTATTATATAGTATGTGTTTATATAATAATTATGACATCATAAATTATGATTTGCCCTATGAAGGCAGAATGCAGGGTGTTTTGACAAGAGTAAGGGCAATCAGGAAGATATAGAAAATGTAGGAAAATACAGATGTTCTGTGCTTGTAAGTGCTTACCAGAGTTGCTGAAAGAGCACTAATGATCAACATTCCTTCTACACTTGGGTCTGCTCCCTCTGTGACAGGGTTTCACAACCTCAGCATTATTGACACTTGGGACTGGACAATCCCTCATTGTGAGGCTGCCTGTGCATTACAGGATGGTAACCGCATCCCTGGGCTCTATTCACTAGGTGACAGTAGCAACTCACCCCCCCCACACACACACACCAATTTGTAACAGCCAAAAACGTCTTCAGACATTGTCAAATATCCCTGGGGGCAGAAATCTCCTCCAGTTAAGAAGCACTGCTATATGAGGACCCCATGTATTTTGGGGGGTTCCACAGTCACTTCCAGGAGCTGGGAGTCTCTCATTGCTGAGCAAGCACTTCAACACAGAGCAGTCCCCACATTACACTCGTGTTCCAAATTGCCTGGGAATATATCGTAGCAACTGAGTGTGACCCATGAGGCCCTTCATGACCGGACCCCTGTTTAGCAGTCCAGCCAAGATCACTTCCTAGGAGTGCCCACAGTCACATGCTCCCCTATCTTGGCTCATAGGAGAACTCGCTCTTCAGGGGACACGCTCCCCCATGTTCTCGCATGGTTAATGTCTTTTCTTCTTTTCCTCCTCTTCTCTCCCTTGTTCTCTTGCTCCTTCCTCCACTCCCCTCCTAGTTATTCTGTCTCTGCCCTTCCGTCTTCCTGCTGTCTCCCCGGAAGAACTCCTACTCATCAAGTTTTCACTTAAGTACAATCTCATCTGTGAAGCCTGCCGGGATTCCCCTGATAGACTCAGACACTCCTTCCTAGACTCTCACTGGGTGCCTTCTGCTGCCCTTCATGGTAGCAGTGACCCCACACTGCATCCTAATTGTTGGCATGTATGTCTATCCCTCTCCAGACCACAGCCTCCTTGAATTAAAAAAAAAAAAGCTAAGATGTTTATTCTATTTTATCCAGCATTTTAAGGTATTTTACAGAGGGAGAATGTCCTTCACAGCTATTATCTTTCTCCCCCACCAGAACATAAGGCACATGAGGGCAGAGACATCATCTTCACAATTGTATCCTAGCAGCTGGGTCAACTTCTCATATAGAATCACATCCAGTAAATGTTTGCTGCGTGAATGAATGAATGAATGAATGAATGAGAAATAGAAGGACTTGGCTCTGCTATAGTTTGGTGCAATAAAGATGAGAGGCGGGGGCACCTGGATGAATCAGTCAATTGATTGTCAGACTCTTGATTTCAGCTCAGGTCATGATCTCAGGGTCCAGAGATCAAGCCCCGAGTCATGCTCCTCACTCAGCAGGGAGGCTGCTTGGGATTCTGTCTCTCTCTCTGCCCCTGTACCACCCAAAATAAATAAATAAATCTTTTAAAAAGAGAGGCTCATATACTCATCACACATCTCTCAAATCCATCTGTACAACCCCCAAAGCACTCAGGGATTAAGAGTGAGATATTCTATACATGAGTCTTCTTCTATACATGAGTCTTAGGCTACTAGTTCATGATCAACAAAGCCACACAGATTTTACTATATACCAAAACCACATATTACTTTATCTACCTGAAAATGCCACAGAAGTGTGCATGTCCAGTGGCACCCTCACCCAGAGCCACTCCAGCACTCCACTGTCTGCAGCATCAATTCCAGACTCCTCTACCAGGAAGTTGGTGCCTCCTGTGACCCACCCTCAGTCTCACTTTCCAGCCTTATGTCCCACCGGGTCCCTTTGCTCTAACCACATTGGAATGGGCCTCCTTCACTACATTTTCATGCCTCTGGCCTTTGCTCATCTCTGCACTGAAGACTCTTTTCCTCTGGGGCCCTTCAAAGATGAGGACAAATTGAAATACCACCCGACCTGGAGACCCATCTCCCACTGGACTCCAAAAGCGTTGCAATGGGGATGACCTTTGGCTACTGCGCCTGGAGAGTCAGTGACCACACACCCACACACGCACACTGAACCCTTCTCCTTTTCCAGGAGGGGATTCTGACCGTTCCCTGACTGATGCCTGGGAGTCGGAGCAGCCGAATGCAGCCTCCTCCCCCAACCATGCGGCGTCTCTGACTTCAAGACAAAACTCCCACGATGGGCTTCTTCAGTCTCATGTGATGGCTTCTGAACATTTCCCGGGGAACATATTGGATCATGCAAGTGAGTTTTTTTTTTTTTCATCTTTGCCACACCCAAAGAACTCTTCCTTTCAGGGCCAAAGAATGAGTTAGAGATGACTAAGGTGCACTTGGGAACAGGGTCGGCCTGTGGGAGCAGGGGAGGACCCTGGCGCTGCAGTGGTGGGTGACGCATGCACAGAGGAGGTGCCTGCTTTCAGGGTGTCATCTTAGAGACACCAGAAGGACTGGATTTGCAACATTTTATTTCTTTTTTAAAAACCCCGAAGACATTTGGCAAAATGTTAAGCTTTGCTAAAGCTGGGTGATACGTACACAGGTGTCTGTGATTTTATGTTTCATACTTAGCTGTGTGTGTGACATATTCTATAAGAAGAAAAAGAAAGGAAGGAAGACAGAAGCACCCTCTAGTGCAATGCCTCTGGCAAGGAGAAGTCGAAAGATATAAAGGTATTGGTATTTCCTGTCAAGAGTAAATCTGAAATAAATTCAACAAGCACGTTCTTCAATCTCCAGTTTGCCAACATCGGATTAATCATGTATGCACACAGTGTGGCATCAAGGCTCTGTCCTCAGCTTGCCAAGGTTCAAAGCCCAGCCCCCACTTGTTAGCTGTAACTCAGAAGCAGTTCACCGAACTCTCTAAAACAGCATTTTCCTCTGTAAATGGAGCTATCATAGTTCCTACCTGGTCATGACTAAAATAATTGGAGGAAAGCACTTAGCATCATGTGTCCTGTATCCTAAGTACTCAAAATGTATGTGAGATTATGATTACATAAGGCTGAGGTTAAAGAGAAAAAAAAAAATCTTCTCTTTGTCTTCACAAAACCATGAATATGCACCTCACTGACCATCCTTCCTTTCCCAAAGGCCACTATCGCCCCACTCCATTTTGTTCCCAGGAAAGCTACCAGGTAAGTATTCAAGGCTTTTATAGTTCTCTTCCAGGTGCTGGGCTGACAGAGAAAGCAACTTTTATTGTTTAGACAGTTTCCATATGATCCACAGCCACCTCCTTCAGGCATCCCACCCTGTTCTCTGGAGGGAGGGGGTTAAGTGACCCTTTTATGTGCTCCTCTAGCTTTCAAGGTTTCCCTCTCTTATGCCCATTTCCTGCACTGCTCTTGCATATTTATTTCTGTGTCTTGTCCACCAGGCTGTGAGCTACTTGAGGATGGGCAGTATGTCTCAGTCATCTGTGGATTCCTACCTGCCCACGTAGCACCTGGTACAGAGCAGGTGTTCCAAAACTGGTGGGCAAATTAGGTGTGCTATCTCCATTTTACAGATAAGAATAATCAAGTTTAGACAGGTCAAGTAAGCCTTTGTACATGTGCTTTGCTGTGTCGTGTCTGGAATGTGTCTCCAGCCTTCTGTACCTGGAAGAACCTGACTCCTTCAAGGCCCAAATCAAAGAACACGTCTGTGGGGTCTTGTCTGCCCCCTTCTTGGCTGGTGGAGGTAACACTTGCCTCTGCTTCCCTAGCCCTCTGAACGTATCTCTACCGAAAAGATTTTCCTCTTCTTCTTCTGGCTATGAAGCCCCAGGGGGACAAGTTCTACATCTGATTCTATTTTATCTCCTTCACATGTAGGTTGTGAGTGCACAGTCCAAGTGATGTTCTACCTGCTAAGGATATAGGCATGCCTGATATCATCTCTGTCAGTTAGGATATTTTGAGTTCCACTGGATGGAAACCCAACTCAGATGAAATTTATTGGTTAATTAATGAAAATTCCAGGCATAGATTTCAGATTTCTGTCAGTCTCTACTTCTTTTGTTTCTTGTCTTCTATGTCAGCTTTACTCTTTAAAAAAGCTATGATTACTTTATGGTGGTTCTTGGTGGCTTTATGCCTGCAACTTCCCAGATTCTAGTCCAGCGGAAAGAGATTATAGCCTTCTCGAGTTATAACAAGAGGCCCAGTTTCAGTGGTTCTGGAAGGGTCCCATTTACATGGCAAAACCAATCACTTTGTCGATAAGTCTGTGAAGCTCCAAATGGCTAGAAGTGGATTGAATGCTGGGAGGGAACTCAGTCTCCAAGTGAACCATGCACTAAGAGAAGGGAGAGGTGGCTCCCCAGGGGCACCACCCCAGTGCCACCAAAGAACAGCAGATAGATCCTGACTATTTTCAGTGAGCTTGCAAGCAAGTGGGGAAATCTAGAGAAAGCAAACAGCAATTTTATTTATTTTTATTTATTTTTAATTTTATTATGTTACGTTAGTCACCATACAATACATCATTAGTTTTTGATGTGGTGATCCACGATCCACTGTTACAAACAGCAATTTTAATTCAATATGTTAAGATTGCTGATGGAAATGCATGAGGGATAATGGGGGTACAGAGAAGGAGCAGCTGAGGGCCACAGGGGAGTTGAAGGAGTCAAGGAGGGCTTCTTGAAGGAAGTGACAGTTGAACTAAACCAAACTAGATACTAAGTAAATGGCTACTGATGCAATGAACTAGTGAATACCTTATATCAAATCACACAATCATATCTTTGTAGAATTTGAATTTAAACCAGTCTCTGTTCACTGTTCAAGTCTAACGATTTTAGCAGTTTGTCAAGCTGGACTTGTTTCTGTAAGGAAATATTTTCCAAATTCCACATCAAATCAGAGTCAGCTAAGAATACAAACACACTTTAGAAGGATGGTTGAGTGTTCAGCTGAACCCACAATAACTTACTGAATTCACAGTATACATGAAATACTGTACATTCGCAGTGACATCATTCACAACTGCTGCTATATTTTGCATTGCCAATCTTCAGTACTCCACCCACATTATGGACTAAGTAGGTTTTGTTAGCTGACTCAATCTTCATTCATAGCAGAAATAGAAGAAATAAATACATTCACAGCACAGAGTCATTCCAAGTTTTAAACAACTGCTGCAAAATTGAGCTTTTGAATCATTTGGCAGAAATTAAGTTGAGGTCTGTTTATCCTTTCCTTTAGATCTTTATGTGATAGTCCTTAAGCCAGCTCTGATTTCTTTTAGGTGACTTGAGTAATACTCAGGTTCACGATTGGTTTAACTCCTATGATTATAATTGCTGTAGGATTTTGTGTCATTTCCACTGTGGCTCTATAACACTGAAATATTTTACCAATAGCAGAGTTTTGCAAGGACAAATAGTTCATAACATATGTTCTCTTTTTTGCCCTCTAGAGACACCCAGTATGCAAAGTTGCAATTCTCTTTCCCTGTCCCATTTTAGGCAAAACATTGTGTTCTGGCTAGACATGGTTTTTAAATCTTGGCTCTGACACCTCAGAGCTGAGTGACCTTGGGCAAATTTCATCATCTCTCAGTCTTGGTCTTTTCGCATGCAGAGCAATGACAGGGGTCCCTACCTCCCTCACAGTTTGTTGTGCTGATTCAATGAGGTATGAAGACTCTTTGTGAATTATAAGGCACTCTACAAATTTTAGGCATGATCCTCATCATCACCAGAATGAGAATTCTGACATTAACATATATTCCACAAAATCTTTCCCCAGCATTACAGTAGTAAAAGGCAAGCCCCAAACTGTTTATGTAGCATAATCATTTCTTAAAGACAGAAAAAAATTTGTTATTTGCTAAAATTATCTAATGAATGAATCTGTACAACATTTGATAATTTTATCTTGTTACTTATGGCAAATTGCTTGAACTGACATCCATTTGAAAATGTGTTTTGTGGGGTTTCTTTGGTGTGTGAAAAAGAAATGTTATTACAATTTTGTTGTTCCAAGATTATCAGCAATGGTTTCTAATTCATTTATTTTTATTTTTCCTATTAGAAACCAGTTTGTGGCGAGAGGTCTCCTTTCCAGCAATTCTGCTGGCTGTGTGCTTCATCATCTGTGCATGTGCAAGGTAATTCAGATTTTATTTTCATACAGCAGTGTTTCTTGATTAATAAAGCTGTAATTGATAATTTCCTCACCTGATTTGACAATGCATTTTCAGTAGCTCCGTGGTTAAGATTTATTCATTTGCCTGTGCCCCTTAAGTGCCCCTTTTTCTATCACTTCCCCACTCTCATTATCTCACAAAGTGTACAAAAGACAATGGATCTTGCTAGGAATTGGATTTTATTATATATGGTCCTTCAATTAAATCCTCAGTGACTCCCTGCTACAAATAAAACCTGAGTAACCCTGCTTAGAGTTCAAGGGCACTTGAAGTCCCAGTAAGGGCATGTGGAGTCCCCACTTGCACTCCATTTTCTCATTACATTGTTATATCCTAACATAAAATATGTGTTCCAGGGAAGCCCACTCAGCATCTCAGATCACATAATGCTCTTGCCTGAATATAGGCATGTTTCTGTTCTACCCTCTGTCCAGCATGCCATTCTTGTTCTTTTCTTGCCCAAGTCTCTGGGGCAATGGTCAAGTCCCTTCTATCCTATATGCACTCATGCCTCAGGGCCTTTGCACTTGCTCTTTATTCTGCCTCGTACAGCCTTCTCTAGAAAGCCTCATAACATGTGTCCTTACTTCTTTCTGGAATGTGTTCAAATGTCACATCATCAGAGAGACCTTCCCTGACAACTCTGTATACCTGTAAATAGCATACCACTCTCTACCATACACGCCTAGCTTTACTTTTCTTCAGAGCTCTTATCACCACATGACTTATTATATGTTCACTTGTTTAAATGTTAATGATCTATCTCTCCCTGCAGGAATGTGAGCTCCATGAAAGTGGAGACATTGTGCGTCTCGTTCACATCTGTATCCCCAGTGCCAGGGGCTCATCAGTATTTGTTGAATCAATGAAACAGGGATAAATGGTTCAGACCTGGGGTTTTGGGGTGCTTGAACTCTGATAAGCAAGTGTTGCTTGCTCTCAAGTCCCACCTCTTGAGGGCCAAATACCTCACATCACTTGGGAGAGTTGTGTTTTTAAATACAAAGTCCTGGATCTCAACCCTTGAGATACTAATTTAGATCTAGTGTATTCTAAAACAAACATCCCAGATAATTAAGAGTTTTAAGTAGTATTAAGTATTTTTAGATCACAATGGGACCCAAAGAACAAAAAGTGGGGGAGGTCCTGTGGTTAAAAATAAGTTTGCAAAACTCTGCATTGTCTATCCCAAGTCAGAGAATCATATGTGCATTAGCATAATATAGGCCCAGTGAAATAACATAGTGAAGAAACATGATTAGCTTTATTTAACTTAGTGTTTCCCAACTGTAGTTGATCATGGAAACTTTTATTTCATGGGACTAATTAATGAAATGTTCCTCTTAGGTTAATTCCTGTAGACACTACTCCCCCCCCCCAAACTAAGAAAGGGCTTAACTCCCCATCCATTGAGTGTGAGTTGCATTTAGAAACTTGCCTGCAAAAAACAGAGCATGGAAAAGGGGAAAAAAGGAAATTTACAGACGAAAAACCTGGCAAATATGACCTCAGATGCTCAGATGGTCAAGGTGAACATCAACAGGGTTAAGTTATACTGATACCTTGTACCCTTGATACAATGTAATGGTACTTTGCCTCTGTGGGCTTACAGACCCCAGTCTAACCAGAGAAAAACTTAAATTGAGGATGCTCTATAGATTATCTGACCAGGACTCCTCAAAACTGTCAAGGTCATCAAAACCAAGGAGAGTCTGAGAAATTGTCACAGCCCAGAGGAACCTAAGGAGACATGACTGAATGTCATGAGGCATTCTGGATGGCTTCGTGGAACATGGATAAATTAGGGAAAAACTGTAAAGTCCAAAAGTCGTGTGGAGTTGAATGTGAAGTACCAATGTTGGTTCCTTCATTATGACAGTATGCCATAGTAGTGTAAGATGCTAATCCTCAGGAAAGCTCGGTGAGGGGTAAATGAGAACACTTTGTGCTATTTTTGCAACTTCTCCATAACCCTAAAGTTACTCAAAAAATTTAAAAATGATTATTTAAGTAAGAGATTGGTTAAGAGAAAAATTATTGATATGTGTAATAGCATGGATGAATCTGACACAAGAGTCTATATGATTACAGATACATGTAAAATTCAAGAAAAGGCAAAATGAATCCATTATTATAGCTATAAGAATAATGGTTAATGGGGTGCCTGGGTGGCTTAGTCAGTTAAGCATCTGATTCTTTATTTCGGCTCAGGTCATGATCTCTGTGTTGTGAGATTGAGCCCCGCATGGGCTTCCGCACTGGTCATGAAGCCTACTTAAGGTTCTGTCTCTTCCTCTTCCTCTGCCCTTCCCAACACCCTCTCTGTCTCTCTTTAAAAAAAAAAAAGAAGAATGGTTAATTCTGGGGAAAAGAGTAGGAAGGATGGCAAAGGAAATGTTAGAACTGCTGGAAATATTCTATATCTTGATCTGGGTAGGGAATACAGGAGTTCAGGTTTTTTTTAAAAAAAAAATCCAAATGTGCAATTTAAATGCATACAAAGAGATGTTTAAAAGGGTATTCATCAACATCTATTAATGGCTGCTTTAGGCCAATGGAGTCTTTTGGTGATATTTTCCTTTCCCTTCTGTATTTATTTATAATTTCTTTCAGTGATTCATGTTTTGAAAATAAAAACAATAAGGAAATTATTCTTTTAAAAAAATGATCCACCCTGTGGGACACCTGGGTGGCTCAGTTGGTTAAGCGTCTGCCTTAGGCTCAGGTCCCGATCCCAGGGTCCTGGGATCAAGTCCCACCTTGGGCTCCTTACTCAGCAGGGAGCCTGCCACTCCCCCTGCCTGCCACTCCCCCTGCTTGTGCGTACCCTCTCAATCTCTCTGACAAATAAATAAATAAAATCTTAAAAAGAAATTCCACCCTGTGAAACAATACCCATCAGATTGGTAAAAACCCAAAATTTTAACACACTTTTGGGCAAGGTTGTAAAGCAGTGGGCATATGGATTTTCTCCTTTGTTTCTTCTAGACATTTGATACTTTTGTGGTTACATTTCAGAACTATGACTCATTTTGAGTTACATAGTTAAATTTTGTGTTGAGGTGTGATGAATATGAGGTGTTACATTCATTCTTTTGCATGTGGGTATACAACTGTTTCAACACCATTGCTGAGAAGGCTATCCTTCTCCATCAGACTGATTTTGCTCCTCTGATAAGACTCAGCTAACTCTATCCATATGGGTTCACTTCTGGTCTCTCCATTCTCTGCCATTAACCTCCATGTCTATCCTTTGGCCAATGCCACACTATATTATTGTAGTTATAGTAATTCTTAAAGTAAATCATAAGCCTTTAGTTAGTCTAAAAGAATGTTGGAAATGCATAATTAGTTTGCTAAACCTGAGAAATCCTGTTGTTTCAGATGGTTTCTGGGAGGAATAATAGCCTGTGTCTTCACATGCTCATTGATGATAACTATTGCCTGTAAGTAACCACTTCTCAAATTATTCCTCTGATCCCTGTATTTTATTCCAATTCTGGTCCTTTAAAAATAATTCTTAAATATTTTCTCTTTCTTATCCAAGACACTGTCAAGTCATTATTTCTTGGCCTTGCCAGCTATGTCAAATCCACCACCTATGCTCAGTAAGTATTGACTGGATGGAGATGACTATAATCTGTTCTCGAGAATGCTTTTTGCTGAGTAATAGATGGCAATGACTACATACAGGGAAGGTCCTGATCATTTGCCCTAAAGAATACTTATTGTTCATGCTAAAATCTAATAGCATTATCATCCTGTCTCTTAGATTCCTACAAATTCCTCAAAATAGAGAATTAAGCTTTGAGGTGGTAGGACTTAATAAATAACATGAATTTAAAAATTTTAAATTGTTTCAAAGTGCTTTTATAGATTCATAGCACTGCCCTTTATAAATACCTCCTACTGAGAGGCCTTTATCTTATAGTTTCCCAAATAGCTGGCAAACTGCCCATGAAATGGTCTCCGTTACAAAGTGTGGTTTCTCTGCTATCTCTCACTCACTTAACGATCCCCCTGTGTGCTGACTGCCATGGCTCATCATATTTCAAAGGGTTACTGGGGTCTGGGTGAGATGCTCACAGAATTTCAAACAGTCTGCAAAACACCATATCCCATCACAAGATGGATTGTGTTAATTACCTTCTCTTCAATATGGCTGCCAGAGGCCAGCTCCCATAGCTTGGAGACAGATGGATGTCTGTAATTCAAATTAGTTTACTGGCCTTTGCTCTTGACATGATGTTGCCCTATTTATGAAATCATTGTGTTAATTCTGAAATCACAATGGGACTTAGGGAAGATTGATTTTGTTTAGGACTCTAGCCAATATTGATTTCCTGACACTCTGAGTGATATTTCCTTTTGTTTCCTGGCATTCCAGGTTTCTGGGGGGCAGGCATTGATATAGCTAAGATTTGTTTAACCTCATAGGTAGAAGAAAAGTGGGTCCTGAGGCCACCCAAGAAATTCTTACTCTTTGGGCCTTGTATAATAATGACATGAACTCCTCTAAGATACTCACTTCCTTTTCCCTCTGGCTACAGGTCACTCTCTAGGTCTGCGGAGACTTAGGAGTGCACCTTGCCTGGCGCTGATGACAGATTCACATGCACACTCAGTTTTCTGGGCTGAGATGTCACACTCTTCAGGACTGGACTAAGCAACAATGTCTAAAGGGCAGATTTTCACACAAAGCCATTTTGTAACTCAACTTTCAGAAGTAAAAACATTGTCATTGCTTGTCAGATGGTGCAAATTGTTCAAATCCCTTCTTTTTGGGTTTTAAGATGAACTTGTACAATTAATCAGAAAGACAGGTATCACCTTGTTAAGAACTCTGTAATGAGAGCAGAGTTTTTCAATGCATGGCCTGGGGGCATCTGCTCTAGAACCAACTGGAGAGCTTCTACCATGATTTCAGCTCTTCTGAATCCAAATTTCCAAGGGGCCTTCATTTTTAACAACCTCTCTAGGTAATTCTTTGCACATTAACTGTGAGAACCTTGGAAAGATGGTTAGTAAAATCTTTACCCCTTGATTTCTAAAGTGGCATCACTTAACCTACTAAATCTTTGTTGAGAACTTACAATACATTCTATGCTATAGTGAATGTCCAGTTCCGCTCAACAGAAATTTATGCTCTCTCCTAATGGTCAGACATTGCCTCTAGGTGCCAAGGTTGCCATGCCAAGGCCTTGAGATTTCAGAGTCTAAAGAGATATGTAAAGGGCAAGGTGAAGTCGCATTTAGTATGGTAAGTGCAAGTACAGAGTTAGCACAGAGGCTAGGGGAACACCAGGAGGGAGGTTTTGCCAGACTGGGAGAGATGGGGACATGTGAGAAGGGAAGGCTTCTTTGAATGCCAATATCTGACCTGTAGGGGAAAGTGTCATCTGTTGCTTTCAGAGCACTTCCCCCTGTTCTGAGCTCCTTGTTTGTTCTCTCCTAAAATAAATTAGATCAGGATTAGGATGATATTTCTATCCTATACACTCTCATCTGCAGCCTCAATAAGATCCCTCCTTTAATTATTTATATACATACTTACCTTGTTCTTCTCTTGTTTCCTCTATTTTTGTCCCGTTTGCTGCCACCTCCCCAGCTTCTTGTACACATACTGTTGCATTTAAGACCTGTGAAAACAAGGACTATTGACTTCATTCTTGTATCCATCTCAATGTCTTGAGAATAGTGGATATGCCATGAATATTCATTAATTTGAATGTATTTGCTGCATCATCTCTTAAAATACTTCCTTTATAACCAAGAGCTCTGTGTCTGTATATTAAAGATTTTGCAACCCTCTCCCTCACACATAAACATATCCAGAAGCTAATAAGCCAAAGACATGGTTATTAACATCTAGAGGCAAGGATGACTCATAATGCTCCTCTAGCAATCAAGGATGAAAATCTAAGGGGGTGGAGTGCAAGCACTTAATTCAACTCAACGAACATTAATGGAGCAGCCGTCCCACGCCTGTCCTGCCCTGAGCATTGTAGATTAGATTAGATTAGGGGTCTATTCTTTCACACTTTATACTTCTCAAGTCCATCTCTTTTCATCCCATGATGCAATTTTCATTCAACCACCTTCTTTGTTCAGTTTAAAGCCTATGAGTTTGGGGACTGTCTATATGGCTCACCACTGGCCCAAGTGTCTCTTTCAAATGAAGGTCATCACAGGTATCCCATGTTACCAATTATGTGTTAGCATCAGCAGGGTGCATTTTGCACATTTATGACTTCATAGTAAGGTAAAATCTGTTCCCTCTGCTCTTACATGTTGGAATGTGTGTCTCTATAGTTGGTGAATGAATGAATAAACTTTAGGGAGTAGAAATATGGGGAAAACCTTGTAAGGATTTCTGTTCTAGAGGAAGTGGTGCAGGTGGGGAAAGAAAACAATAGAAAATAGTGGTTAACTAAGTACCAAGCTGGGATAAAAATAAAAGTTACTCCAAGTTGAGGCTCCACTCTTCTTACTTATGATTACTCAAGCTAGTGTGTGTGTGTGTGTGTGTGTGTGTGTGTGTGCATGCGTGCACAGTGATTGCAGTAGTTATCATATTTCCTGTCTATGTGGATGAATCATGCATTTCTTTTCTTTTATCTCTGATCTACGTTTGCCAAAATTTGACAACCATTTAGGAGTGTCTCTGATGAATGCCTTCAATCTGAATATCCAGAAATTGTCTGATTTGCAGTCTGCTTGGAATCAACTGCTTTATTGGAGGGGAGTGAGGAACTGGATAATTGAGAAAAAACATTTTTATTTAGTTATGTGTTTTTTTAAAAAAATCTAATTTTTGCCCTCATAATTGTAATATGCTCATGAAAATAATTTTAATTTGTCTCCTTTACAAACACTAGCAGTTGAAAGGGAACAGAATTGAAACTGTGATAGAGAACCAACCACCTGGGTAGATGTTTTCTTTTTTTTTTTCCTTAAATGTTTTTATTGTTATGTTAACTGGGTAGATGTTTTCAAACATTAATTTTCATTTAGAGAATTCTATGAGGCACTTGTAACAATGCAGATTCTTGGGCCTGCCAGCAAACACCTCTCCCTTACTGAACTGCTTTAATTGAATAATGTAAACAAGTTTCTATAATCAATACCAACTTGAAAGTAAATAAATCGCAGTTTGCACATAAAATACAATGTGGAAAAAAATTCATCATCCTCCCCAAAGAGCAGCTGGATGTGGGTTGGTGTCAGCAGATGCAGGTTAATGGAAAATGGGCAAGAGAGAGCCTTTCTTTGGGACAGCACATTCTTCTTTTGAACCATTTTCTTTACAAAGTTTTCAGCCTTCTTGGGGCTCATGATTGCCTTTCACTTAAGTGCAATTAAAATAAAGATATAAGAGAAAAAAATCTTTAAGGGCCAAAAAAAAAGAAAAACACCAGAGTGCCTTGAAATGCATAAAAATGGCACAGTCACCCAGCCGGCTGAAGGGTTATAGAAGACGCTCCCTATCATTGCTCTTGCTTGGAATATGTTCCTGAAGGAAATGTAGCCTGCAATTCAATGTTGTTCTGTATGATGTTCCCCAGCTGGACACCTGTGTGGAGAAAATTGTCTTTGCTTAAAATGGTAATATCAAAATATCACTCTTTATGTTATTTGTATTTAGTTAATTTCATTTGAAAAGAGTACTATACTAGTAAATAAATGAATTCATCAGCAAATTATATCTATGTATCTGTCATCTATCTATCTATCTATCTATCTATCTATCTATCTATCTATCTATCATCTACCATCTATCATCTATCTATCATCTATCTCATAAGAGCAATCATGGTGGCAAGTCATTAATTGAACACTGTATTAGTTTGCTATAGCTGTTGTAACAAATTATCACAAACCGGTGGCTTAAAATGACACAAATTTATTGTTTTATATCTCTGGAGTCTATAATCAAGGTGTTGGCAGCACTGTTTTCCTTCTGGGGGCTTCAGGGAAGAATCTGTTTCCTTGCCAGTTTCAGCTTCTGCTGGCAAGGTGGCTCCTTCCTCCAGCTTCAAAGCACACAACTTGCTTCCAGCATCACATCACCTTCTCTTCTTCTGCAGTGAAATCTCTCTCCACCTCTCTCTCAAAGGACACATGTATTCATCTATAATTATGATATCCCCCGGAGCATCAAAGACTATGTGCATAGAATAGGGCACACGGGAAGAGCAGGGAGGACGGGAGTGTCAATTACCCTCACCCCTAGAAATGATTGGAGGATTACTGGCGAGTTAATTAGTATTCTGGAAAGAGCACATTAGAGTATCCTGGAGGATCCTGTGGCAATGGCCAAGAGATATAAGGCAAATAAACTGAAAAAAGAAATGAAAAAAAAATGGGGAAAACCCAAGAAATTGTATCATTAATGTCTATGTTGAAAAGTGATAACAGCCTACTTACAGGAGATTTCAAGATTTTTTAGAGATATATTATTTAGGATATGTGGAAGTATTGGAAACATGCTGGCAATATGAAGAGACTTGACTGATTCTTAAAATAATAGTGATTAAAAATGTATAATTCAATATTTTATAGTTTCTTTAATAAAGTCAAAAGTATTTAAAAAAATAAAGGACACGTGTATTTACATTTCAGTTCCACTCTGATCGTCCAGGGTAATCTTCCCATCCCAAAAGCCTTAACATAATCCGGGCTGCAAATCCCTCTTGCTTGCTCTAGAAGGTAATACTCACAGGTTTCAGCGATTAGGACCTAGATGTCTTCAGGGACCATTAGTCAGCCTGCCACTATCTTCAGCTTGGGATAGATTTGCACAATGATTTAGTAGATCTGGGTTGTGTCCCATACATTTGTCCTTTTAACAGGTGGGGAAACTGATCAGAAGGTGGTCCCAAACCACATTCGTGGCGTGCTTTGAAGAGAGATTTAATGGGGAGCTAATTGCATAGAGAGCCTTTCATTTTGATGCTCTATCAGGAGAGCACGCCTTGAGAATTGCTTGTTTCCTATGTTCCTGTGTTGTGTACACGTTTATACAGGGTCACTGTATTTACATGATTTCAAAGTTAGATGAGGAAGTAAAAATAATTAGGGTGCCTGGGTGGCTCAGTCAGTTAAGCGTCTGCCTTCGGCTCAGGTCATGATCTTGGGGTCCTGGGATCGAGCCCCGCATCCTGCTCCTTGCTCAGCAGGGAGTCTGCTTGTCCTTCTCCCTCTGCCCTGCTTGTGTTCTTTCTCTCTCTCTCTCTCTCTCTCTCTCTCTCTCTCTCTCTCTCAAATGGATAATAAAAAATAAAATCTTTTTTTTAAAAGAAATAAAAATAATAGTTTATAATTATGTCAATTTTATTTTTTCCAGGACCTTTCCTCTCTAATTATATAAGATTCCTATCACTGCTGTAACAAGTTACCACAGACTTGACGATTTTAAAACTAAACAAATTTATTATCTTACAGTTCTGAAGGTCTGATGCCCCAAAAATGAGTTGTAGGAGTCTACAGTCAAGATGTCAGCAGGCTGTGTTCCTTCTGGAGGCTCCAGAGAAACCCCAATTCCTTGCTCTTCCAAATTCTGGAGGCTGCCTACATTCCTTGGCCCTCAGGCCCTTCCTCCTCCTTCAAAACACATCCTTCTGTTTCTGCTGTCACATCCCTTTTTCTGACTTCGGCCTTCCTGCCTCTTTCTTATGAGGATTTTTGTGATTATATTGAGCCCACCCAGATAATCCAGGATAATCTCTCCATTTTAAGATCCCTAACTTAATCACATCTGTAAAGTCCCTCCACCATGAAGGTAACATTAACAGGTTCAAAGTACAGTTGCTACTGAATTCATATCGCTTCTGCAAAAATCCTAAGACAAACCATTGTAAGTCAGGACCAGTCTGTATATACATCAATATATATCTAGATCTACATCTAGATCCATCTAGATCTACATCTCTCTCCCTCTCTCTATCAATCATACATCCTATTGGTTCATTCTATCTATCATCTATCATCTATCTATCTATCTATCTATCTATCTATCTATCTATCTATCATACATCCTATTGGTTTACTAGCAGGTATTAAAACCACCATTTTATAGCTAAGCTTAGAGAGGTTTGATAACTTTCCCAAGCACAAAGAAGGCCAAGTAGGAGGTCTAGATATCACACCCAGGTTTGTGTGACCCCTCAGTCCTTGCTCTCCTCACTATTGATTACTGCTGGAAAAATGACAAGAGAAGGGCATGGCACCTTGAAGATCAAATACTGCCCCAGTCACTCTCTCCAGAAGTACTAACTCCAGAGAAAGCTTTCCATGAGGCAAGAGCTTAAGTGAAAAGAGTCAAACTGTGACCTTTACCTTCTTTCTTGTACCTTAAGATTCTCAAATCTAGTTTGTCGGAGATTTTACATGAATGCGATGTCACAGGAGAGAGAAATCACCCAGCGCTGCCTGGTCTGCTTGAGGACCTCTACCTGTAGGGGCTTCTATTGCCATACCCAGCTCATGGAAAGACCTGCCATTTTGATGGAGCATCTACTTTGTGCTAGATGTTGTATCTGCCTTATCTATAATTCCCTCCACGGTCCTGCCAAGGATTACTTCATATTGTAGCTGCTGTAACAGGCAAACCCACGTAATGCCTGATGTGGACGAGGTAGGTCTCCATTATCTTTTAAACATGCCATTGGCTCCCAAGATCTCCCACTTAATTGCCTTGGGCTGGAAAGTGACATGTCCCTTCCCTTACACTCTACAAATAAGGATTAGGGTCACACAACTATGTGGGGAAAGCCGGGAAATGTAGGGGAGCATGTGGATATTTGGTGAGCTCTAGCAGAGTCTGACACAGTCACATTTTAAAGATGAGGAATGGTGGATCTCAGAATGCATCATGCTGTCGTCGCACAACTCATAATTGGTGAAGCCCGGATTCTACTCAGGTCATTAAAACTCCAGTGCCATTTCCCCTCAGTGCTTCCCCAAGTAAAATCTACTGTAGTTACTTCAAAACAACTCAGATGCAAAATGATCTGCCTGTGCCGCAGGGGATGCCAACCACCCCCCATCCTCCCCAAAAGGAATCCCTCTATTGCTCATGCAATACAGCAGAGCAGACACCTGCTAACTTGGCATACTCTGCATCAATGCCACATTTCCCTACCAGGCCTTGATGAAGGTCTGATCATGTATTTTTAAAAAAATCTATCCCGCTGTGATGGCTGTATCCCCTCCATCTGTCCCATGCTGGGTGAAATGGGCTACAGCTGCAAGCTACACCTGCCATGGAGCCAGACGGGGTACCTAGGGGGTGGGCAGCAATTTAGCAGGTGGATACTAAAAGCTGGCAACCACTTTGCAAAATTTTTTTTATCCTTTTGTAGCCTTAAAAGAAATAAAAACAAAGAAAATGCAATACAGGAGTGTGTGTGTGGGGAGGAGGGCGGTTGGGACAAAGGCTGGTGCCTCAGGACTTTTATTTTCAATGCAAAATGTCCTTTTTCATTTGCATTGTGGAGAGAGAAGGTGGCCCATCCTCCACCCCAACCCAAATTGAGATGGCACACTTTTGCGTGGGTGAAACTCAAGCTGAGTCTGCAAGGGATCTGCTGTGGGCAAGGGGACAGAGCTGAAGCTCAGTGCTAACAGCTCCAGTGCTTCTTCTCGCCTTTCTCCTTCTCCTTTTTAGTGAAAGGAAAAATCTAGAAGCATATCTTAGAGCCTTCCACCTTCCCATCTTCCTGGTTTCTTTGTCTGCAGAATCATATCCTTTGAACGCTAACTAGCACTAGTACAACATGATATTTGGGCTGGAGGAAGACCAGAGCTGGGGCTGGGCTCTGTTGTGTCACTTTGGACAAGGTATTTCATCTTTCTGAGCCTTAATTTTCCCACCCATAAAATGGGATAAAATTATTACCTAATTCACAGCATTTTTTTTTTGAGTAGTAAATGAGTCCACATGCAAAGTATGTAAGGCTTAATACAGTGCTAGATATATGTAAGCTCTTCCAAAGTGGAGCCATCAATATTATTACTACTAATAGTAGTAACAGTAGTAGTAACAGTAGTAATAGTACAAGTCGTTTTTCTAACTTCCTGGACCATGTGAATTTTTCAGTGATGAGGTAAGTTGGTAGACTGAAGAGGTAAGCCCTGGTCTGAGGCAAAGGCTGAGCCAGTCTG